GAGAGAGAGAGAGAGAGGGTGAGTGAGTGAGTGAGTGAGTGAGTGAGTGAGTGAGTGAGTGAGTGAGTGAGCGAGTGAGTGAGCGAGTGAGTGAGCGAGTGAGTGAGCGAGTGAGTGAGCGAGTGTGATGTGTGTGTGTGTGTGCGCCTCTGTGTGTGTGTCTGGAAGATGTCCTATAAACCCTAAAATTGACAAGTGGACGGAACCTACGAGCACGACCTCATGACGAAGTCTGGAGGCCCGGCACTGGAGGTTGGGCTGCGATTCCTGAGATGGCGAAGGCGAAGTTGACATGCCATACACCCACTGATCTTCCTGCAGTGATGACAAGTCCTGCTGCCCCTTCCCTAAATGCCGCTGGGTCCTGGACCCATGTGCCATCTCTCGAAAGCGCGACCGGGGGGCCTTGGCTCCCAGAAAACTTTGAAGGCTTGGGGCTTTCAAGTTGACCGGAGCTCCGGAAATGTGTCCGCTTTTTGCCGGGCAAAAGGGACCTATGATGAAAGCCCCCAATGCAGCATGCCACGAAGCAAGACATGCGTCGTTGCAAGACTTTCCCGTCAAGTCCGAACACTACTTGGTATCACGAGCGGTTCTCGTCTCAACCTGGCACTGGGAACCTGACCTGGGCCACTGCTGCCATGGCGGCAACGGTAGCAGAGGCACCAGGTCAAGTTTTGGGACGGATCAAACAAGTTGCATAACAAGAGTAACCGTAATCGATGAGTTACAGTAAGAAGTAAGAACAATAATAATAATAACAATAATAATGACAAAAATCATCATCACGACAACAATAGCAAGAATTACAACAACCACAGCGTAGTAGTAACAATAAATAGTCACGATCATCGTCCTAATCAGGGCACTTCGATCCGTGGTCTTTGCATCTTTCCCACAAGGGCTTGTCAGGATTTCCAGCTTTGCTTCGGGCTCTCGAGTTTAGAGCTTAGGGTTTAGGGTTAGGGTTTAGGGTGGTTGAAGGTGTAGGTTTCAGTCGTGGAAGTTGCGGAGCGCAGTTCGAAGGACCATGCTCTGAGGGCAGCTGAAGCAAATTTGCGTGGATTAGCTCCCAGTCTGCTTGCCATGTCTGTGCTGCTGCTGCTGCAGGTCCGAACGCAAGTGGTAGATCCTGTGATGCACTCAGAGCAGGCAAGCACGGATATCTCAAGAAATCACCAACCGACTCCGCGGATCTGTGAGCAACACCTACGGCTGATCGAACCGTTGATCCTCCGACACGCTGAACCGTTTCGAATAAGCCCAGATCCAGACAAAGTCCGTGAAAGATCCCCGAAACCCAGCTGAGGGCTCGGGTGCACCTGAATTGTGTTCCGGATGAAAGCCGTGAGGCCGGGAGCTGGGAGCGCAAGGGGACCGTTGGTCTTGCCCATGGCTGCCTGGCACTTCGTAAGCTTACGACAGGCAGGGACGACGATGAGTGTAACTGCTCTTTCCTCTTTCTATTGTGGATGTCTCAAGCTACTGCTACTGGTAGCAATGCTGTTGATATGACTACGGCTATCTGGTTGACAGCCATTACGATACGATGGTGCTGGCTCTAAATCACTGCGAGTTTTTCTTCGTTAACGACGACGACTACGATACCACCACAGCCACTACCGCCACCACCACCACCACCACCACCACCCTTCCCTTCCTTTCCCTCCTTCCTTCATTCAAGTAAATGTCTGATTGGTGAACCACAGTAAACACTAGTACGATGCTACCTGTAAGGTAATACTCAGAATCTCAATTGGTAGCAAAGCTGTTGTTCGAGATACTGGTCTCAGGAGCACTGCTATCATGCGGCACCCGAACGAGTCCTGCAGCAAGTCCCATTGCTATCACACTGTTTATCATTCGTGACGGTTGCTGTCTTTCACCACCATTGTGTCACCCAAAACACAACCATCTTGCCGAAACTCCAGAGAAAAAAACTCCTGCACATGTCGAGCTTGCCGCTACGTAGTTCCCAGTACCGTCATCCAAGACACCGACGGCCACCTGAGCAAGAACATGTGCCAGCGATTGTAAGACCACGGATCAGGGCCGCTGTCCGCCACACTTATGTCGTTACTAGGGGTGGTGCATCGTAGGTGTCTGCCTGACCTTATTCGAAGCACCGGATCGAGGGACCCTGTACACGGAAGAGACGCAGTCGCCTGTTTCATGCTCTTTCTGTTCTGAGCCTCACACACCGTGTACGGTCTGCCTGTCCTTGCACCAGCTTCACCTCGGGGCGGAGCAAGAGAGCCTGCCGCACCTCTTTTTCATGCCGGAGCTCAGTGTGTGACCGCCGGTGCAGTGTGATCGTTGCCAATCCTGGCAATTTGGACATATCGAGATGCATGCGAAGGCAACGGCATGCACCTTGTGGAAACCTTGGCATCATGTCATGTAGTGCTGCCAGATTTTGCTGTCAAGGGCAAAGTGGCGTAAAGTGAAGAGATGTCAAGGACAACGGAAACAGCAATCAGTGGCAGTTGGACTGGACGCCGTTGGTGCCGATTTCGATGTGGCGGTAGAGGAGGGCTGCACAAGCCTGCCCAGTGCTTCGGTCAAGCAGCTCATCCTATCCGAAGCTGGACCAAGGCTTCGGAATGGCCTGTACTTCCGACGCTCCAGACGTCGGAACTTCCTCGTGCAGGAGGGATGACCATTACTCTGCCTTGTTTGACCGATTGAGCCGCCATTCAAATGGCGAGTCTGTCCTCGCTGCCTCTCTCGTGCGTGAATTTCAGCGTAGAGAACTGTGGCCTCAACGACGGGCAAGAGGCAGGCAGAACCCGTCCCCCGGCATCCCCAAAGCTCACGGATTTAGTTTGCGTGTCTCAATCAATGCCTGGAACAGAAGTCGCCACTTCAGGAAGCCCATCAGCCATGCGGCCCTGCTTCAAGGCACTGAGGAACCCACCACTGCCAATCTGCCCCTAGGGGAACAAGAAGTCGGCGAGCGTGCCTGAAAGAGTGGATCTGGGAATCCCGGTGAGCTACAGAAGTACCTAGACGGCAAATAACGGATGCTGCCAAATCTCTTTGAGGACCGGAACTCAAGTACCTCAAACACCACTCGACTTCGCCGCGGCCTCTCCCCTGCGCGGAGTGCTGACTCCCTGGGTTTCGCGAAAAGCGCAGACCTTCGCACAAAGAGTAAAGGAGTGCGGATAGCGCGAGTCTATGCTGTAAGTCGCTTTTTGGGGGGTAGTGGCCTCAAGTTTGCGAAACTGTCACAGGCATGTCGTCAGCCATCCTGTTCTGTGGCTTAGTCTGGCAGCCCCTTCGTTTTCAAATTTCAGGTGAAGGACCCTGGAACCGAGGCAAGCCCCTGAACTCCACATCCCGAAGCCCAAATCCAAGGCCCTGGCCTCAAGCCCTCCGTCAGATTCCCGGAGGTGCTTGCCTTGAAGCAGAGAGTGCGGCAACTTGCGACACAATCACTTTGACCGTGTGCTTCCTGTCGAAGAAGATACTTATCTAACAGGCTTCATACTTCCACGGAGGCTTGCAAACGCTGTCTCATTGCCAAACTTGGGCTGAGGCATTGCTTAAAGCGCCAGCCACGACCTGTGCCTCAGCAAGGGTGATTCGCCATGCTTCTGTCAGGGGATGTCTCGGCGGTAGGTCACCAGAACCTTTCGTGGACAGCCACACGAGGCCTTCAACGCCCAGCCCCCTCCAACGCTTCCAGAACATCGAGCTGGACAGATCGCTAAGCTGCGCCACCAAGAATTGCCATGATCGACCAATGGAAACGCAACGATACATCCTCCGAGATCGGGATAACTGCAAATTATCATCCGGAACCACAGCAAACCCTCCGATCGGAGGTCTTAGAAGTTGGGTGGTCGCCAAAAAAGCAAGTTAAGTTGCACA